ATCACAACAACATGCATACATCGCTAACAGGTTGTGAGTAATTTGGGCGTTTTGCTCCAACAGTCAAATAACAATTTCAATAACAAGAACTTTACATATATATAATATATATATAATATATATATATATAATATATACTATAATCTATATATATATATATATATATATATATATATATATGACGGATTACACAGCATACACAGATAATGTCTTTTTAATTCGCTATAATGGATCTCAACTGCATGTTCTCACGGATGTTTACTTAACAAAGACAAGGTACTCTCTATATATTTTACATTTATCATCAAGTCGAAACAAAATCACAGAGTAAAGGAAGGAAATTCTACTCAGGGAAAACTTGGAGTTGATACGATAATTTTTTTTTTAAATGTTTGTCTTTCTAGCAGTTATTATCGCTGAACATGATTCTTGATTTCGTCATAGAACTTTTTATTTGTGATCGTATTTCCCTTTTATTCTACGTGATATCACCGTGGAATCCTTTGCATGTCTAGGAAGTGCAAGATGGCGTGACCGGGTCCTTGGCGGCTCGTTTGTGCATGAATTACTGACTTGGATGACGTGTTGGCAACTAATAGGCACAGAGGAGGAGGGAGAAGAGGAGGAAGAGGAAGAGGAGGAAGAAGTGGAATACGAAGGGGAGGAAGAGGAAGAGGAGGAGGAGGAGGAGGAGGAGGAGGAAGGGAGGAGGAGGAGGGAGGAGGAGGAGAGGAGGAGGAGGAGGAAGAAGAGGAGAGAGGAAGAAGTGGAATAGGAAGGGGAGGAAGAGGAAGACGAGGAGGAGGAGGAGAAAAAGAAGAAGAAGAACAATCAAAAAGCAAAGAAGAGGAAGAAGAAGAACAACAAGGAGGATAAGGAAGCGAGAAGAAAAAAAAAGAAAAGAAAAGAAAAGAAAGAAAAAAATAAGGAAGAAAGGTAGAAGCAAGAAAAAGCTTCTGTGAATGTCTTCGGCACCATCTTTTTTCTGCACACCTTTGGCAACAATGCAAACGACCCCGTCTCTAAGACACTGACTTCACTATGAGTTAAAAGTCTATTAAATTACTACACGAAATCTGAATGTAAAATATTCCGCACTTCGCTTCTTTGCTTACATGCCTATGCTGCTCACAGAACCCATTCAGGAAGGAACGGTCCCAAGAATCGAGAGAATAACAAAATGAATTAAGTTGTAACTTCTTTATAGTAGCAAATATACATAATATTTTTATATAATATAAATAAGGGATTAGTGTGTGTGTGTGTGTGTGTGTGTGTGGTGTGTGTGTGTGTGTGTGTGTGTGTGTGTGTGTGTGTGTGTGTGTGTGTGTGTGTGTGTGTGTGCGCGCGCGCGGCGCCGCATGTGTGCCCTTATGTGCGCTCATTCATGTCCATGTGGGTGAGCATGTGCAGGTGTGTGCACATATATATATACAAACGTATGTAAATGAGACGTTAACAACATAATACTCATCCCAGCTTACAGAACTGAGCCCAGACTGACAAAATACAACCGATACATAAAGATAAAACCCGAGCGTCTGCAGCGCTGAATGGAATGTAAGAGGCAGCGTTGGAGGAGGCTCCTGATCCCAGGGAAAGGCTCTCTCTCTCGAAACACCTTCCACTCGAGACCCGTGATGCAGCCCGTCCAACCACGAAATTCGTCTATCCATCTACATGTGTCTACTCATCTATCACATCATCTGGTTTAGCTACAGGAGGCTCTGGGTAAGACACAAGGCTTCAGTATTTACAAGATAATAATCATAACAATAATAATAGTAGACAATTCATAAGATGAAAAAAATTGTGAGCTTATGATAGAAAAAATATAATGATGACAATAGCTATAATGATGACGATGATAATAATAATAATAATAATAATTTTAACAATAATCATAACCATGATAATAATGATAGCAATTATCACAATAATAACAGAAACTACAATAATAATCACAAATAACCACAAATATTAAAGCATCTCAAAATACTATATATCTATATTGTACAAATAAATAAATATCTGACAAATTTCAGACTGCCGTTCATGACAGGATGAGCAGCAACGACCAGTTTCCGTCAAAGCGAGATGACGTCCCTTTACAAAGGGGGTAGTTACACTCCAGGAAAGAGGTTCTACGTATGTATACATCTGCAGACCAAAAATAGGACTGCAGTGTTTATATCAATAACCCATTTTCCATATATAAAAATAAAGATAATACCAAGAAAATAATATAAACAAAGATACTATAAAAAAAATAACACATATACAAAGAAATAAAAAAGAAAAATGTTATATATAAAAAAATATAACAAGAAAATGATATATGTGGTTATGAACTCCACCTTGCTGCATATGCTAAAATCAAGACAGCTTCGATTATTACTAAGGTAAGTCAGGGAAAGAGGTCTTGGCCTATCGTTTAACCATTACTTCCATTCTTCGTCTTATACCCAGGGGCGTCACGAAGGGAGTCAAGGGATGTGTT